GCCCATCAGTTGCATATCCAGTTTTTCAGAAATTACCAAACTGATAAGGTAGCGAAAAGTAATCACATTCATAACGGGTGAATAAGTTTCATCATAGTCAATCCCGGGGTGTTGTGAGAAACCTTGTGTAACAAGACGAGCTTTGTAAAGCATAATTCATTCTTCTCATTACGTTCCCGAACGAAAACCTACTTGTAGCCAATTGGCTTCACATGTGGATGAGTAGGAGCTATAGGTCCAAACACCTTACATTTCGCAAGCGAATTAAGTTCAACTTGGATTGCTTGTTTCCAAGTTGACAAATCATTTCTATGTCGACATTCATCAACGGAACGTGGTTCAATGTCATCGCTTAACATGATCTCTGTAGTTACTCCAAATGCTAATGCATCGTCGACAATCATCTCATTTCTATGCCACACATCATCTAAGCTAGCATAATAGACCGAAATCTCACAATTCTCGGGAGGAGGATTCGTCTCTTCAAGGACGCTTCCATAATCTAGATTTTCCTCATGAGTTGGATATAATGAGTAAGCGATAGTCAGATTCACGATAGGCTCTTCGGGATCTTGTGTCGTGGGTTTCCTCTTCCGAGGTTGTGAATCCTTTGAACCAAGAGGTTGCCATGCTTTTGTGTAGGGGCGGATGATTGGCTAGCCGCTAATGTACGTGGAACACCAAGATTGGTGTCCCGAGCCTCCAGAAGGGAAGCCAGTTGTACATTTGGTACATCCATCTTTGCAGGCGTATTCACAGTTAGAATATGTGATCTTGTCACGCGCGCTATATCGGTGAAAGCATTTGGTATGCTCTGAAGATCTAATATGCGTTGCACTTCAGTTTCAGAATGAGCGGTGCGAGGATCTAATGAGACAAAGTGGGAGTCGTCCACGATAATTCGCGTCGTTCTTTAGGAACATTGACGTTCTTATCTCCCCCTAACGATGGGAAGACTATCTCGTAGAAATTTCAATGTCAGATTCCTAAGCGCAGTGGTAGGAGCGTGCTGATAACGTGTTGTGGTCTATTTTATTTAACAAGGTTAAAGGGGGCCGATGATAGAGGGAGAGAGATTGAGAGAGATGTGTTTGTAGAATTGTAGGGGAATGTGTGTTGTTATCCCTCCTACATTGTGCCTTTATTTATACTAGTAAAAGGAGAGAAGATATTCCTTTTCCCCCAAGTAATACAAGTTGTAATAGGAAAGGATAACTAGAATAAAATCTAATCTAGAATTTACACAATCACACTTAAACTAGGAATGTTTACAACAATTTTGCGGTTGTATTTTTTATTTTTATTTTTTAAAAGACCAATTGATGGCTTCGCGGCAATCAACTCTTCTAGGAGCTGGGAAGAGTTACAGAGGCATTTCAGCTTTCTTTGATCACCATCGTATGATTCACCAGCGCCATGAATCGAATCCATAACGTGCAGTGTGGAATACGGGCCTGGAATTCGTCCCTAACCACTAGGACACCCATAATGGTTATTCTGAAGTTGTATTTTAAAGATTGTAAGATTATTAGAGAATTCTAAATCTTGCCCTAAACCTTTATTTTTAACTTAATATAGTTAATTTCGTATTAGATGTCTATCTTGATTCATACTAAGAAAAACTGAATTTAACACATTTATTTACGAGTCAAATTCGATATAACATGATTTGACCCCAAACATAATTTGATCAAGACCTAATCAACAGTCGAATATGTGTTGCGATTTCGAGTGACTTTGACCCTCTTTAAACCACTTGGATGAAGACTTAAAATCATATTTGTGGATGTCATAGTTCATGTTCTAATTTGCATGTCAACACTCAATATATTAAGTGTTTGTACCTAGTTTTCACACGTGGGCGTAAGTATTAAAGTAATTACGGAATGGGCTGGACATTTAGTGTTTGTTTATTATTTAACTAGCCTTCATGCACGCGCATGCGTGCAGAAGATATTTTTTGAATCACGGCATGCTACGCGCAATTTACACGTTTCAAATCATGTTAGAAGAAAAGTCAAATATTTGAAGTAAATGAATAATCTTAGATCATGCTAGAAGAAACCCCTCATAAACCAATTAAATAAGTTGAATTCACATAATAAAATCAGTCTCTATAGAATTTACATTAAGAATAGAGAAAATAAAATTTAATAAACAATTGATTGAATCACATTATTGTTAGCCCATTGTGAGGCAAAACCGACCCCCTCCCCTTTAATGTAAATAATATCATTTGTTAAAAAAAAAAAGAAGCATTTGACAACTAATTTAATCATATTATTATCCGTGTGAGAAATACTTTTCTATAAGATATTTTGAACGTGTTTAAAATAGGGAGAATAATATTTAATAAACAACTAATTGAATCACATTATTGCTAGCCCATTATGAGACTAAACCCACCTCCTTCTCACTTAGTATAGTTAATATCGTTTGTTAAAAAAAAATCATTTGAAAACTAATTTAATCACATTATTATCTGTGTGTGAATGATCTTTTTCTATAACTGGTATTACACTCCTCTTAAGATGTTTTGAACGTGTTTAAAAATAGATAAATTGAATCACATTATTATTAGTCTATTGTGAGGTACTAGTTAAAAAAAAAAAACACAAAACCATTAATTATTAAAAAAAATATTATTAAAATGACAAAAATGCCCTTGTCTTGTTTGATGCATTATTTTGGGATGCCCTTGAAGTTTTTGTTTTGGGGTCCTTTTTGTCCAATTTTTTTTGGTAAAGCATTACGACACCAAAACACTATTCACTTTTGCGTTGGCTTTATATATATAGATTAGCAAAAGCCAAAAGCACAATCGGTTTAACAGTAATCTTCAAGTGAAATCCGACATAATTTTTTTTTTTTGCCATGAACAAAAACCACATATTAGGAAATGTGTAGCATAGTTGGTATTATTATTATTATTATGGAAAAAATGTTCTTTGACCAGAGAACCATTAGCGTTCAAATGATAACTATATGTATATGAATTTAAATAATAGGATGTTGAATTGAGCAGTTTTAAGCTTGAAGATCAACAATGATGTTTTAGAAAGAGAAATTGTAAGCATAGAATCTAGAGAGAGAAAGAGAGATCGAAGAGAATGAGGGAGTATTTCACTAATTTTATTTCTTCACAGTCTCAATGGATACAAGGATTTCCTATTTATACTAGTTACATTCCTTACACAGTAAGTAAACTAATTTTGAACAAACTAACAACTTTCATCAGCTAATCTCTTGACAAGTGGCATCTTCTTGAACGTTGGATTTATCTTGACTGTCTATAGCTTTACATCCCCCTCAATCGCATGTTTGGTAGAACCAAGCATGAGATTGGAATGGTGATGCTGAAACAAGGAAATTGAAAAACCCTTGGTGAGGATATCAAGAAATTGTTCTTTGGAAGACACATGTTGCACCACTAAATCTCCTTGAATCACTCGTTCTTGGACAAAGTGATAGTCTATTTCGATGTGTTTAACCCTCAAATGAAAAACTGGATTAAAGGACAAGGCTATAACAGATATATGATCATAATATGACAATGGAGAAGTTTATAAGGGAACCTGTAAGTCACCCAGAAGCTGCCTTATCCATGCCAATTCTGCAGCAGTTATAGCTAAAGCCCCTATATTCTGCTTCAGTTGAAGATCTAGAAACTATGTGTTGTTTCTTAGAAGCCTATGGAATTGGACTGGAGCCTAGATAAACAATATAACCAGCGGTGGATCTCCTATCATGAGGATCCCTGCCCAATCAACATCACTATATGCTTGTAAAGACAACTTTCCAGGCTAAAATTGAATACCATAGTCAAAAGTACCATTGAGATATCAAGAATTTGTTTGATTGCAACTACATGTGAATCTATAGAGAATGCATGAATTGACAACACTAATTTACTACAAATGCAATATCTGGTCTAGTAAATGTCAGATATTGCAATGCACCCACTATACTTTTGTATTGTTTTGGAATGTGATAGAGTTTGCCTTCTTCCTTGAGTAGTTTGTGAGATGGAAGACAATGAGTAGCACATGATTTTGCATCATGCATATCAACTTTGGCCAATAAATCCTTGATATACTTTGTCTGAGAAACAAACAAACCAAAAGACTGATAATAAATTTGTAATCCCAGAAAGTAATTAAGCTGTCCCAAGTCATTCATATCAAATTGTTGATTTAAAGCTAAGATCACTGCAGATATATCACTAGAGCTGCTTCCAGTTACGATTATATCATCAAACATATATTAACAACACTACAATACCAAGGTCAATGTGTTTTACAAATAGAGAATGATCTGCAAGTGATGGTTTAAAACCCAAGCTTGGTAAAAAACTAGTAAACTTCTCATTCCAGGCTCTTGGAGCCTGTTTTAAACCATACAAAGACTTTTTCAACTTGCAAACAAAGTGAGAATGATGATTATGACTGAGAAAACCTGGAGGCTGAGCCATATATACTTCTTCATTCAATTCTCCATGCAAGAATTCATTTTTGACATCCAATTGTCTTAAATTCCAATGAAACTGAGCTGCAAGTGCAAGAATTAATGTCATTGTGGTTGGTTTGACAACTGGACTGAAAGTCTCACTATAATCAATTCCCTCATCTTGACTATATCCCTTGGCAACTAATCTTACCTTATACCTGGAAATGGATCTATTAGGATTTTTTTCTTAACCTTATAAACCCACTTATAACCAATTAGGTTTTACAACTTGGAAAAGGAACAAGATCCCAGTTTGTTGAGTGTGCAAGGCACTGATCTTATCTTGCATAACTGCTTGCCACTTTGGAACTTTACTAGCAGCTTTGTAGGTAGTTGGCTCAATAATAGAACTCTCAAAGGTATTTACAGTGGCTGAAATAGCTTTCCTTTTAACAATTATACTCTTAGATCTAATCTGCATTGGATGAAGACTAATTCTACGTATTGGAAGAACAACTGTGAGACTTTTTGGTTGAAAATCAAGATCCACATGAATGTGGGACTATGTAGCTGTTATAGATTCTGGAGATGTAGACAAAAACTCTGAAGCACTAGATGAGGTAGTGGGGATTGGCATGGTATTGAAAAATTTTGGAGATAAAGTTGGAACATTTAAAGACTCTGAAGCACTAGTGGGTTTACTGAAAGACTTTATAGGTACTAGGGCTTGATGATTTTGATAATGCAGATGATGATTAATGAAGTGTCTGTGATAATGATAGTGATGAAGATGATTAAGGTTGTGATACAACAATATTAGCCTCTGCAACTAGATGAATAACTGGAGTAGGAGTGTGTTGTGACACAGATGGTGATATTGCTGGTTTAGAGACCAAAGTCATGTAAGGAAAAGTATTTTCATCAAAGAAAACATGTCAAGACACATAAAATCTCCCTGTGTTTGGTTGTAGACAAATGTAACCTTTGTATAGGTAAACCAGGTACATTCATCTAAGAAAGCAACATAGAATTTGCAACCCTTAATTGACAATGTAGGAGAGGGTCCCCACACATCACTGTGAATGATTTTTAGGGGTTTTATAGTCTTATTGGTAGGAAAAGGAAATGGTAACTTTGGTGATTTTCCCTTATAAACAAGAAACACATACATGCCTAGATTGATCTAATGAAAAAGGAACCTGAGATTGGTTCAACATTCTTGCAACAACAACATTAGAAGGATGACCTAATCTATTATGCCAAAGAGATGTATGATGACCAATAATGCAGTGATGGTGTGTAGGTAAGTGAGATGCTTGATATGCTTGCTTGAGTATGGATGTAGGTATTTGAAATGGAATTAGGTATAATCCAGCTCTACACAATGGATGTAGGTATTTGAAATGGAATTAGGTACAATCTAGCTCTACACAGCCCCTGGAGAAGTATTATCCCTGTGACCTTGTCTTGAATCCAGAAACAAAACTCATCATATATAAACCTACAATGATTGTCTTTGCATAGCTGATATACTAACAATAAGTGTTGAGATAACTTGGAAACATGCAATATTTCTTTCAATTCAAAAGCATATTTAAGAGCTTTTAAAATGGAAGAACTAGTATGAGATATTGGCAAACATGAACCACTAGCTGTGGTTATAGTGTTATTGCTTGCAAAAGGAGTTGCCAAATGAGCTAAGTCTGATGTCATATGTGAAGTTGCACCAGTATCAGCTACCTAGAATTGCTCATGTGGAGCAGAAGGTTGGTAAATGACATGCATGGTAGATAGGGTTGATGGTGGTGACTTGCCTTGATATGAGAAATTGCCTTAAGATAACACTATATAGCAGAATGCCTAAATTTCCAACAAATTTGGCACTGCATAGGAGAAGAAGAAATTGTGGTGGGAGAGTGTCTCTGAAAGCAATCAGAAGCAATATGACCTCTTTTGTTACAAATTTGACAGGTTGGCACATCATTACAATGCTTAGAACATTTATAAACTAATCTCTTGACAAGTGGTATCTTCTTGATCGTTGGATTGTGCTTGATTGTCTATAGCTTTTCATAGGATAGACAGTGTACTTGCATGGGATAGACTTGTCACTGCAAAATTATAGTTTTGAAAAGTATAAAATGCGCTTCCCATATATTCCTAGATACATATCTAGCAAAGCTCGTTGTGTTAGGTTTAACACGATGCACACTCGGTTTAAAATAATCTTCAAATAAAATCAGACATGATTTTTTTTGGCCTTGAATAAAAACTGTATAGTAGGAAATCTATAGCGTATTTGATAAGGGAATTGTTATTGGCACTCCAAATTTGTCATTCTACACTCCAAACTTTCTATATTTAAAAAAAAAAATACAATTGTGAGGAGTGTAGAATGAGATTTTTGGAGTGGCAATAACATTTCCCTTTGATAATATTATTACTTCTTTTTGGGAAAAAAAAAAAGAAAAGTTCTTTGACCAAGGTATCCCGTTCGTTCAAATGATAACCGTGGGTATATGAATTTAAATAATTAGACAGACAGCGTACTTGCGGGTCGACATGTCAATGCAAAAGTACAGTTTTGGAAGGTATGATATGCACTTTCCATATATTGCTAGATACATATCTAGCAAAGTTTTAGGTGTAACACAATTCCTTGCAAATTTCTTGTATAAAGCAGTCTAGGCAAACCTCGAAAATGCACCTACCACCTTCTCCTCTCTTCAGCTAATGTACACGCATTCCATCTCATTTTGCATTTTGATTTTAGCTTATCAATTAAATTTTTTTGGTTACAAATTTCTTTCAAGTTTGTGCAGCTAAAAAGAAATCTCGTACTCACAACGCATTTAACATGAACTTCTCCAAACAAGCAGCTAAGGCTTCTGCAGGGCATCATTCCGCTAGGGATTCACCTTCTTCACTCGATGATAAGTCTTCTCATATGGAAATGACTCCAGCTGCTACTCCCCTTCCAAGCTCCCCAAATGTTGGAGATGTTGGGCCATCTGATCCCAAGAAACTGCTGAGGTGAGTAAGTTCGCTATTATTGATGTTGTAAATGATAGGATCTATGCAGTAACACACGTTCTGTTTTGTTTAAGACATCTTTGTCGATTTCCTCTCCAAACTTGTATGGAGCTGTCAATTTTCCTCTAAACTTTAATTTTAGCTGATTATTCTCCTGAACTTTTATAATTAACCAATTTCTTTTCTAAACTTGAATTTTAGCCGATTACCCCCCCTAACTTCTATAAATAGCCAATTCCACCCCCCACGCCACCATGCATTAGATTTAAAAAAATTTCATCCAATTTTCCATCCATCTTGATCCGCGGACAACACATGACATTTGTACGAGGGCAAAAAGGATAGAACATTGGATAGGTGAACAATTAGAGGAATGTTTTTACAACCTAACGCCATGGGTAAATTGGCTATTTATAAAAGATTAGGGGGGAATCGGCTAAAATTAAAGTTTAGAGGAAATTGGCTTAATTATAAAGTTTAGAGAGGTTAATCGACTAAAATTAAAGTTCAAGGAAGAAATTGACAATTTTATACAAGTTCGGGAGGGCAAATCAACAAATACTTGTTTGTTTAATTATCTCAATTCTCTAATGGCTGAATACATTTGAATTATTGTGTAGAATTCTTGCCAATAGGGAGTCGGCAAGACGAGCTTACATGAGAAAGCTAGAGTATGAAGCGAAACTCCATCAAGATGCTGAGGAGGCAGAAGTAATCCTTCATATTTATCAATTATTTTCTATTTCATTCATTTTCCATAAGTGAAGCAATTGTTGTGCTTCGGTTTGCTTGTTTGCTTGTTTTTTGTTTTTATACACCAATTTTGGGAATGACGGTTGGGGCTTAGTCACACTACACGAATAATCTAATTAGTTTGTTAAGTTTTACAAATCCATCGATTTTCATCGTTTAGTGAAATTTATGATATCAAAATGATTCAATTTTGGTCACACATTATATAGAACTTAATATTGTACTATCGACCAGTTAGGATTACTAAACTCATTTTTACCAAGAACAAAATCAGATTTTGGGGGATTTGAACTAATTGGGTGCATAAGGAGAAGTACATCCCCACTAGCCAATGTTGTTATCCCACGATAACATTAATTAATTGGTTACCTTTTAAAATATATTGAGGCGAGAAATGAATTTGATATTTTAGAGTAAGGTCAAAAACCAAACCAATAATCCAATTGTGTATTTGTGTACAGGAGAAGGTGGCAAGGCTATCTTCACAAGTGGCCTTTTATGAAAGGAAACAAGGTCTACTGCAAATGGAGAACATCCAAATAAAGGAGAGGATCCAATATCTTGAGAATTACATAGCGCGCAAAGATGGTATTCATATACACACGACCACCGCATATATATATATATATATATATATATATATATATATATATCTCACGTACAATTAGTCCTACACTAAAGTTATATGTTAATATATATACAGTTGTTTTGATTAATTATTTGATATTGCAGGGGAGACTCTGGAGCTCTTGGTAGAAAGAGAGAGGCTTCTTTTGATTCGACAGATGCAGCGTGGCAGCGGCAGTGGTTTTTCCAACAATTAATTTAGATAAATGAATTGAAATGTTTTCTTAATTTCGTATCATACAGAGACACAGATGAAACTTTAATTGGTTTTTATGTAAAGTTGTGGTGTCTCATTTCCCTGTTATGGAATTGTACCGTTCGAACAATGCTCAACAAATTCAGGGAAATAATATCTATACATCTTTCTTCTTTCTATAGCTTCTGTTTATTGGTATGTGTTTTTTAATTTCTGTTTGATTCATTCAATTCAAATATAAAAAAATAATAAAAGTTTGAAAAAACTAGAAAAAACTAGTGCGTTGAGAACACTTATTCAAATTTGAGAGTCTTCTTCGCGTTTAAAACAAAAGTAGGGTCAAAATGAAGACTGTTGTCACTGTCGATGAAGTCCACGACCACCAGTACCCAATTGAAATCAAGCAATTAATTAATCTATGTATTTTGTAACATAGTTAATAATTCAAGCCTTCCCTTGGGTCGATTAGATCGGTTTAGACTTTGAGAATAAAGACGAATATGGCTGCGGAACAAGTTATTAGTAAACTATGCTACGATGCATTTTTATAGTGTTGATTGTTATATAATTAAGAATCCATATCAACTACAAATGAAAGATTAGAGAGTTCAATATTCTAGTAGATAGGTTATTAGACTTCTATCCATGTATTCTAGTTTGGAAATTCTGTCTTCCCTATATTATTGTATGTGATAGTTTTGAACTCTTTCCTTTTCCTTAATAATAGTTCAAAAAATAATAATAATAATTCAGAGAATACGAGACTCTTTAAACTTCTTACATGTAAATGGTGTCATCAAAGGTAAATCCCTTGTAAACTAATGTCTTGGGTAAGATTAAAAACTATTTTAGTCCGTTGACACAACGTCCAAGTCCGCATACATTTATAATCACCTCATATATTATTTCGATTTTGAGGTTTTATTACTCTTTTTCCTCCTATAATACCCGTGTTTTCACACATTGTTATGCATCTAATCCCAATTTTCATTTGATTCATCATAATATATTTTGGAACAAACAATTAGGCACACTAATTTTTTTTAATTATATATTTTGATATATTTATTTTTGTACAGACATTTAGGTACATCAATTCTTTTTAATATATTTAAGTACACTTATGTATTTGCATAATTTTGTTCTGTGTCACTAATTTGTTTTTGAAAAGTTTTCTCATTTAGGTACATTATTTGTAATCGGAGAAAGTTAATAATCAATTAGTTATAATGTGCATATCAATAAATTTAAATATTTAATGAGGAGACATTTATGTACTAATATTGTGACAACTCATCCCTAATTTTATTGGATCTCCCTTCGGACATCTGATAAAATTAGTGACATTCCAGGTCGGGGTGTGCTAGCTAACACCAGGAAGGTGATGAAGCCATAAAGTGTTGTGATGTGAAAAATGTGAGTAAATTTAAGCCTAAAAGTGTTTAAATGAAAGAGAGTGCTTGTGAGTAGGAATGAACCCATTTCACACGTGATGTCAGATCATAAGTAAAGTACAGTAAAATTAGGATAAGAACTATACCATCGGAAGTAGTCTCCGATAACAGTGTTTGCCAGAAATCCTCGTCGACACGAAATTGCCACTAAAACCTGAAGGGGCAAAAAATAAGGGTGAGTGGGCCTAAAAATAAAGCTTTGTAAAAACCTTTTTGAAAACATAATAATCCCTCGCTGTAAAACAAGTATAGTTTCCAAATACATATTACGTATAGTGTGAAAGTGCTTACCGTAGCCTATAATATGTCAAGAATTCATTAAGTCACAATAATTTGTAAATAAACACCTAACGTCCGGTAATCAATTAATCTCGCGTAACAAACATATCATATCAAGTGCTCATCGACATATGCTGACACATGAGTTCATGCAGAGATATTCTGACATGAACATGATTGGGTGTAATAATGATAGATGCTCTAGTACTACAATCACGTGAAAACTGGTGCTATGTGTGGATGCAAATTTCTTCCTCCTTGTTCTTGGACAAAATTGCACCTACAAAACAAATAACACATTAGGTCAAGGCCAAGAGCCTTACATTCCTATGATGAATTTTGGGGGGGGGGGGGGGGGGGGAGGGGTTTTGCTGAAGAACCTCCGATGCCAAAGTTAGAATTTTGAGGGAAAAGTGTTTGGAGAATTTAGAGAATTTAGCAAGAGAATTGGAATTGAGTTTTGGAGAGAATGATAGGCTTTTATAGGGGTGTAGCCAGCCCCCATGGGAGAGGAAGGACCGGCCACTTGGTCCATTTTGTGGGCTACGTTCTTGATTTGTGTTTAATTAGCTAATTAATGGAATAATTTCCTAATTGATTAGCTAATTAATTTAATAACAGAGGAATAATTTGGAAGTTACCTTGTGGAGAGAATTTGATGAGGATGTATGAAATGAGTTTTGAATTATTACCTATTTTGGGTACTTTTGACTTGGCTGAGGGATGATTGCCTGATGCTCGTGCGTAGGAATTTCGGTGTGCCTTGAGGCTAATCTTGTCATTTTCACCCAAAAATCCACGTGTTGCCTTGTGATTATTTTTGGCTTCACACTATGCGCATCACATACAAGTCCTAATTGCCTATAGCAATCTAGACATGACTGGCACCTACAATGGATCCAAAGTGAGCATACGATGCAATGTGAACATACACGTGAAAGACTGGCCTTGGCCTGGGTGAGTACTAACATCGGTGCAGCAATGATGAGCAGATAACGTAAACAAAATCATACAGCGGTAAATCAATAATTTACGTCGACATAATACTATTCACTGTCGTATATATAAATAAGGCATCCCGTAATAATATGCATACATGTGCAACTCGTAGGATTCATAATAATCTCACAATTTCAATCATCACGACAATTCTTATAACCTCAATTTAATTATGGCATCACTTAGAAAAATGCATTATTAATCTATGTATGGAAACTCAAATAATATTAATACTACATAAAAGAAAAGACCCACACACAAATACTTGTGAGTTCGCATCCATTCGAACTTGGAAAGTCAAAGTCTATGATGGTAATCGCACCGACACAAAGCCTAGCTGTGGTCAGAAAGTGACCGAAAAAGCTTGCAAACACACGAGTCCTATTGGTATATGGTCAGCCCATGATGAATGTTCTAGATTATTCTAGTAAGCGAGTGAGGTGGCTGGAGCATGCTAGACAATTCTAGCACTTTAGTAAGTTGATGGAAGAAGCTAGAGAGTACTAGCTTCCTTGGTTGCAAATGGAAAGATCTAGAAGCAACAATTTTGTGGCTAGTCTAGAATTATCTAAGTTAGAGGTTGGTAGAATAATCTAGAAACTAGAAACTAGTTCTAGTTTGTAGAAGGAATTAGAAACTAGTAGAATGCCAAGCCCTCACCTATAAATATGGGTGTAGTGTTGTAATCAAGTAACTAAGTGTGAGTAGCAAAAGATCAAGTCCAAAGCTAGAGTTCCACTCCAAAAGTGAGAGTGAGAGTGTTCCATTACATATTGTGTAAGTGAAGTTTAGAGTGATAGAAAGTGTGTGTTATACTTTCTTGTATTCATCAAGCCTTGTCTTTGGCTTGGTAAGACTACTCTTGTTGTACTCATCATCTTTTCATATTGTGAAGATTGATTGTTGTTCCGTGGACGTAGGCATAAATTGTTGAACCATATAAATTCTTGGTGTCCATTTTCTACTATACTTTATGCATTCTCTATCTTGTAGTACCGACATTCCTAACAAGTGGTATCAGAGCCTGGTTGGCTCGTACTACGAGATGGAAAGAAGTGGCACTATGATCAAACTCACCAACTCCAATTGGGTAACATGGAAGCCAAGGATGGAGGACATTCTCTATTTCAAAGATCTGCATAAGCCAATTGAAGGAGATGCCTCTAAGCCCAAGAGCATGTCCGATGCGAGTGGAAGAAGATGAATCACAAGGCAATTGGCACAATTAGACCATGGGTGGATGATAGTGTTTTTCACCATGTGTCTAATGAAACCAATGCCGCGAGTTTTGGACAAAGCTTGAGTCCTTGTTCGAGAAGAAGACCCCAACCAAGAAAGCCTTCTTGATTAAAGAGCTCATTAATGTAAAGTACAAGGATTGTTTAAGTGTAGCAGAACACTTGAACAATTTCCAGAATATCATCAACCAGTTGGTTACTATGAACATGACGATTGAGGATGAGCTGCAAGAGCTCTTGTTACTTAGATTCTTGCCAGACAGTTGGGAGACCTTTGTGGTGAGTGTAAGTAACTCTGCTTCTAATGGTGTTCTTACTCTTAATAATGTTAAAAATAACATGCTCAATGAAGAAACAAGGAGAAAGACTTCTGGCACAGATAGCAGCCAAGTATTTGTCATAGAGAAACGTGGAAGAAGTAAGAGTAGAGGGCCTAGAGGTCATGGCTGGAGTCCTAGCCGATCCAAGTCAAGGTTCAGGGGTGCATGCCATCATTATGGCAAAAAAGGCCATGTGAAGAAAAATTGTCGAGTTTGGAAGAAAGAGCAAAGGGAAGGAAACAATTAGAAGAAATATGATACTGGCAATACCACTGCAATCCTTTATGGTGATGTCCAGAAATATTGTCTGTTGGTGAATGTATGCATATGGGTGATTCTGACAGAGACATTGAATGGATCTTTGACAATGGAGCTTCCTTCCATGCTACATCAAAACAGGAGTTCTTTAGTACATACAAAGAAGGTGACTTTGGCATAGTGAAGATGGGGAATGAAAGCTATTCTAAATTCTTAGAATTGGTAATATTTGCCTAAGAACTAATCTCGACTGTTAGTTAATGTTGAAAGATGTGAGACATATTCCTGATATACGTCTTAATCTGATATCCATCGGTACCATTGATCGACAAGGTTATTATCACCATATTGGCGAAGGAAAATTGAAGCTTACTAAAGGCTTAATGGTGGTAGCAAGAGCACGACTTTGTTGTACGTTGTACTGGTCAAATGCCAAGGTTTTGAAAGGTGAGTTTAATGTCGTGGAGGACTCATCTCTAGACTTGTGGCATAAAAGGCTAGGCCACATGAGTGAGAAAGGCTTACAAGTTTTGGCAAAGAAGTCTCACATTCCCTTTGCCAAAGGTATGTCGTTAAACTCTTGTGAGCACTCTTTATTCGGAAAACAAAGAAGAGTTAGTTTTTCTGTTCCATCTACAAAGAAAGGAAATTTGTTAGATCTTGTTTATTCAAATGTGTGTGGTCCCATGGAAGTCGAGTCACTTGGAAGAAATAAATATTTTGTTACTTATATTGATGATGCTTCAAGAAAGGTCTGGGTGTTTTTGTTGAAATCTAAAGACTAGGTGTTTCAGACATTCAGGAGTTCCATGCCATGGTGGAAAAGGAAACTGGGAAACCTCTCAAGTGCCTTAGTAGCGACAACGGCGACGAGTACACTTCTCACCAGTTTAGAGAGTATTGTGTGAAACATGGCATACGTCATGAGAAAATGGTTCTTGGAACTCCACAACATAACGGTGTTGCTGAAAGAATGAACCGAACCATCATGGAGAAAGTTAGGTGTATGCTGAGGACTGCAAAGTTGTCTAAGCAGTTCTGGGGTGAAGCTGTAAAGACATCCTACTATTTGATCAATCGATCTCCATCAGTACCATTAGGTCTTGATGTTCCAGAGAGAGTATGGACTGGTAATGATGTGTTTTACTCTTATCTGAAGGTGTTTGGTTGCAAAGCTTTTGTGCATGTGCCCAAAGAGTAGAGATCGAAGTTAAACTACAAAGCTACACCGTGCATCTTTCTTGGTTATGGCGGTGAAGATTTTGGTTACAGATTATGGGACCCATACCAGAAGAAGTTTATAAGAACCAGAGATGTGATCTTTTATGAAGATCAAACAATTGGGGATTCGGATAAAAAGGCTCAGCTAGGTGGCTCAGTCAGAGGAGTTGATCCATTAGCTTCAGATGAAGAAAGTCACAGTGACATCCTTGAAGCAGCTGCTAATGAAGTGCCTACAGATCCAGATAATGCTGATCAGGGGGAGCCTGATCAAGATGAGCCAAACAATGAAATTGCTGATTAGGGGGAGCTTGAATAGCATATTCCAGGGGAAACTAATCAGGGGGAGCCTCTGGCCCCGTAAGAGAATGAAGATAAGATTAGAAGATCCAGCAGAAGTCGAAGACCGTTTACCAAGTATTCTTCATCAGAGTATATCATGTTGACTAATTATGGAGAGCTCGAAACTTATGAGGAGGCCAGAGCTCATAACGACAGTGACATATGGATGAAGGCAATGGAGTTAGAGATGGACTCCAGGTAACTTGGAGTCATGATCGAAATTCCTCCCTTATGGACTGGAGGGGGAGATTGTTGGTATATGGTCCAGCCCATGATGAATGTTCTAGATTATTCTAGTAAGCAAGTGAGGTGGCTGGAGCATGCTAGACAATTCTAGCATGTTATTAATAAAATATTATTATTAATTATTATTATTACTACTAACAAAGAGCATACACTTTGTGTGTGTGAACAACCGCCCACCTCCTTCCATATTCTCCTAAAGCACAACCATTTCAGTTCATTCAAACTATCCAAAAAGCATCATGATTTCACTTACCTGTATGAAAAAATGATGGTGGGACAACTTTTCTTAATAAGTGCATATTTTTATCTTATGTAAATATTTTGATACAAAATTACTATTTTGCCCTCCTCATGTCAACATTGTGTATCCAAAAGTGAGGGCAAAATTGGAAGAACATGGGGCAAAAAGTTGACAAGCCCTCTTCTTTTAATAGAATAAGTAAATTATTTTTAGTATTATTATTATTGCTACTTTAACCAATCTAAGTGATGAACCTATTCTTATTCTAACCCATCAACTCACCCTCCCTCAACACTTTGACTAAATTCAAGGGCTTCACCTTTTTCTTAATATGTGTTGTTTTTAACCTGAGTTGCCAATAAATATTAGGAAAAAATGCACCAACAAAATCTTGTGGTACTCATATTAAAAAGATTTACATAAATAAACAACCAGACTTCAAAGTGTTTCAAAGTGTACTATCTTCTCCTAATTTTCATCTACTATTGTGACATATATGAGTACATTAATTGACTTCTACGCAAACTCCATTTCGTTAGTTCACTGTTCACTAGACTTGAACTGATATTGAATTACTTACGTATATTTATCTAGATTGAAAAAAAGAGTAAAGTCTCCTCCATATGTTCCCTATAGTCCATGGTGTTTGGATCATTGCCTATCTAACACTTTTTTATGTACTAATTATAATTACTAAGAAATGGGAGAAGCTAGTTTAATGAGACAAATTAAGCACGCATCAATGCAGAGGTTGGAGCAATCATATTGATTAGAATAGATGTACTTTTCTGTACACACCTAAGTTTGAATTCCTATTTCTACAATTTAGGTTAGTTGTAAAGTTGAATATAGATTGTACAAAATAAAAGCATACATCAACCAATGGAACATTAATTGTCTACCTATTTTGCCGAATTCTAACCGACTCTTGCTTGATGTATAGATTCGTCGTTCATGCTAATGAGATCATTAATACAGAAAAGAAACAAGAAAGAAAGAACAAATTAATTAAGTGTTGGGACTTGGGAGGCGACTAATTTCCATGTATGAAATTAAGTTCTACAACAAGACAGACACTCACAATAAAATGCAATTTATATTATTTAATATATGTTTTCATGAGCAAGTACCTCAAAATCTCACTTAGAATTGTCTCATTCATATAGTCAGATCTAGAGTACTTGCCCAGCTCTAGGCTATAACTCCCCTCTTTCTCATTCAACTTCATTCCTTCAAACTTCTGAGCTTTGAGGACGTGGGTGGTGAGTACAAACACAGTGACAGACTACTATCAACTTCATGAGTATGATCCTCATCATTCTTCCTTGATGTTAGCTTGAGAGACAGATCCAAATCAAGATCGTGGCAATCCGAAGCCTTTCGTTTCAACGTCTTCAACTGATCTTGTACTAGATTCTTGGTTACAGTGTCGGAATCTTGAAAGGGGCCATGGTTGGTGTTGAAACTTGTGCTGAGTTCCCCTGGTTTCAAGGACTCACGGATGTTATAGAGTTGGCAATCTTCTTTCAGTGTACGAGTAATCCAGGACGATTGTGGATGATCACCAAATGAACAACTTGTCAGATAATTGTAAGCATTATTACTAGTACTACTAGTTCTCCAGTTGCCTTGAAAGCCAGTGCTACATCTCGAAAACCCTGGATTTTCAAACGCGTTCCAAGAATTCGCATCCCCGTATGATCCATATCTTGGGAAAATCAAGAAAGAAAGAATCTTTTGTGAAATTCAATTCATATATATGTACATGAAAATAGTAATTTGAGTTAAGGGAAATGTTAATTTAATTTGAGTAAAATGTTAATTTGTAACCTGAAGCTGGTAGTGTGGCTTCGGTTATATAACTTATATCCTTGAAGCATGGGGAGTTGGCTGAGGTTATAAATATTTTTATCTCCACATTCACCAAGACGGCCTTGACGATCCGGTAGTACTATCAAAATTAAGGTCATAGATTTTGTAAGAAAATTAACAATATTAATTGGTATTATTAGTAAATAAACAATGAAAACCCTAATTTATCTTAATCATCAATAGGAGAATCCAAGATTGCAAATCTTGTTTATACCTTGGCCTGCGTCGTTGATCTTCTTGCTTCTATACATCTGATTAATGAAAAACATAAAGAAAATAAACATTTCAGAAAATTCACAAGCTAATTATGCTGAAGTTCAACAATGATAGAAATTTCCAGAGATTTTTAAATCCAATAACCTGTAAATGGCTCTTGACATGTGCAATACTTAGTCCCTTAATGTTCATCAGCTGAAGAACCAACTTTGGTGTAGCTCCTGGACCAAAAATCATCACCCAAAACCATATTGAATTTAATTAATTCCTAAAATTGAATGATCGTTAGATGAAATAATGAAATTAAGCATAAATGAAAGGGTGTATGATAGAGAGGTAGCTCACTATCTTGACCACCAAGCCTCTCCATGGCGTGGATGAAACGAAGATGAAGATCCGTTGTCCATCGGAGCCTAGGCATCTTGGATCTAACATAAGGTCTAACTGATACCTTCTTTTGATCACCTTCTTCAACTGTGCTATTGCTTGAGCTTCCTCCGTTGTTTTTCGGTTTACTACTTTCTCCATTGCCGTAATTCTCCCCGCTTTCGCTTCCGTCCTCATTTTGTTTATCCGAGGGACTTGTCTTTGAGCACTCAGAGCCTCCCTGGCTCCCCATCATAGCTTGATTAATCTATTCTATTGAAACTCGATCGAGACAAGAATAAGGATTGAGTAATTTTGTGGATTATAGTTAAGGGAACTAAAGGAGATAATTGGGGATTAGAGCCTTGAGTAGGTCGATCGATTGGGAAGACGATGAGGATGAACTTTCATGGTCTGGCTTGCAGCAGCTGCTGTCCGTATTCTTTTCTCTTCTTCTTCAGTGAACACATGCTCAGACAGAGAAGTATAATTATTTACAACAAAAGAGACATCGGAGTAGCAAGACAGAATCAGCTAAGCTCTATTACAATACAAGAAGTGTGCGAAACCCTAGATCATGACAAAAGATAGAGAAACTTGCCTCTCTCTTTCCTCTCTCTCTTTGGGGATAGGTTTTAAAGATATTTTATTTACAGATATAAGGAAAATAGGTATTTTTAATATATATCATGCATGCATGTATGGATGTCATGCAATGCATGAAATAACAATATTTCTTGTGTCGAATATTTTCTATCCCAGCTAGACCGTGGTCCATCATTTTTATAATCAAATTCCAAACACGGGATAATTACTTGGTAATCACTATGCGTACCCCAATCCAATGGGTACGCAATATATATGTCTTACTTTAAACAATAAGAGAGAAAGAAGGATGTCATTAACATGAAGAAATGGGTGTAGGGTTAGTCTACGAACGACACCCTTAAAATAATATAATAAAAAAGTGCAAAAACCTGCTCTTATACTATCACATTTTTCATATAACATTTGTACTATTTTTTTAATGAAGATGAGACTCACATGTGTTAATGGGACTTAACTCTATTAGAGAGGTGATAAAAATATAGTATATAATTGTAGCATTAGTAAAAAAAGAATTCGTTGGTATCGTTTAATTTGAATAGTAATTTTAATATAATCACGTTTATGCATAACATACTACTTTAACAGCGTAATACGGTGTCCAACGTAAAAACTATTTTTATTTTTTATTTTTATAATAGTACCAATGTAATTTTGTGTTATTAACAATAACATTATCAATATTATGTAATATTTAGACGGTAAAACTTTGACGATAATAGTGCAATCATACCTTTCTTCTAATGCAAACATTGATTGTTAACGTACACTAGTACAAAAAACACTTTGCGCGACGCAGGTTCTTCGTCGCGCAAAGTCAAAAACCGTCGCGCAAAACTTAGCTCAATGCACCTTCGTCGCGCGCTAACCATCGCGGCAAGTCAGTGACAGAAGGGGTTTGCGCGACGAAGATTCCCCCTACGTCGCGCAAAGTGGCTTCGCGCGACGTAGTAATACGTCGCGCAAAGTGTCTTTGAGCGACGCATCCCCTACGTCGCGCAAACACTTTGTGCGACGAAGATTCTACCTACGTCGCGCCAACCTCTTTGCGCGACACAAGACTCTACGTCGCGCAAAACCACTTTACGCGACGTAGGATAGTGCGTCGCGCAAAGCCACTTTGCGCGACGTAGAGTCTTGTGTCGCGCAAAGAGGTTGGCGCGACAAAGATTCTACCTACGTCGCGCAAACCTCTTTTTTTTGTTTTGGTCAAAAAAAATATTTTTTTTAATTTTTAATAAATATCTTAATTAAACTCTAAACGATAATTAATTAACCAACGAAAAGTATTTAGTTATAAACAAGCACAGGTGCCCGCGCGATGCTGCGGGTTTACAATTCTATTTACACACATAATTATGTTTACAACTCTATTTACACAAATGTCCAACAATATTTACAATCATTTTTATGGGTTTAAAACTCTTTACACATTTACAACTATGTTTACAACTCTATTTATGCATAAATGTACAACATATATGTCCTCCATTGGAGACAGGATGGATGTCTATCTCATGCACATCAACTTCATGCAACACTAGGAACCCCATCCTCGTTTGCTCTTCTGCTGTCTAATAATCCTAATACCGAACAGAGCATACAAATTCTATAAGTCCAAAAGTTACTGAAAGAAAATCTATTATTACTCCAATATAATACAGAAATACTAAATTCAATAATTTCAATAGTTATTCAAATTCAATAGCTAGCATTTGAGAGCAATTTGTTCTTGAAGCATCTTTTCCATATATGAGAGGAAATTTGTTCCATTTAATGTGAACGTGTTCGTAGAGTGCCCCTGTTTGTGAGAAGAACATTAAAAAGTATTGAAATGAAAACAATCTGAGCCACAGTATGTACAAGTATTCATAAAATACTTTTATTTTGTTGAAAAAGGAAGCAGATGAGACATACGACTAGTTTCTTTCCGTTTGCAAGAACAATGCTGTCAATCCGGCGATATGTGGTACTAGCTGCAACTGTGAATATCCATGGTACTACACTTGACACAGAACCAACCTTATAACTATTAAATATGGTTAAGTAATATCGAGCACCAACAATCTTTCTGCAAAACAAACATTTCTTGATGTTAACTAAATGTTGCAAAGTACAAAGGAAAAACCATTACAAAAGTAGTTTAATTATGAAATTTTGAAATGAATAAACTCAACCAAAAGTTTTAATTCGTATAATTGATAACTTTATGCATGTAAATATTGAGAGACATACTTGTTGCAGGTGAAATTTTTGCCGCCTTCACAAACACCTTTCCACTTCTTAGGAGGAGGACCAAAACCTTCATCTTTAAAGCTCTCGGCTTTAGGCCAAATTCGAGTGTCCATCACACCAACAATGATATCACTTTCAGTTGTGGCATTTCGACTGACTTTCACACCAACAATGATATCACTTTCAGTTGCAGCATATAAAGCAGATTCAGAACTAGCAATCATCAAATTCAATCAATTATCCACTACACGACCTACATAGTCATATGAATACAACAGTCTAGGAGATGAAGAATCAAGAGCATTCACTAACATGGAAAAACAATATAGAACTTGCTGAGGTCCTGAAATTCCCAGTAGCATTATAACTACCTTTACTATTTGACCAACGGTAGGCAACAACTAGTCTAAAATGCCTTTGGTTATGGAAATCTCAACTCGGTTCAAAAGTCATAGGATGTAGTTAACTATGATTTACAGCTACTAAGTCAAGTTCATTAGTTTTGACCTTAAATATTTCTTAGATTCATACAAATCATAACTCAAATGCAGAAAAATGAAACGGTGGTTGGACGGTATCAACCGTATCATTTCATTTTATATAGCAGCAAAGAAAAGAAAAGGGTCAGATGGAAATTGTGGAATTGAAATCATGATGTTGACAAATGAAATTGGGCCAAACGACAAAGGGAAAAATGATTTTTTCCCTAAAACATTATCACAGTCGCATGAAATTTAAACCAATCATCTATAAACATACATAACACCAGCCATCAATCATCAATCACTAATCTACAAATGCAATTCAAATTTTAGGAAAACCCAAAATCAAAATTACCTAAATTTTAGAGGGATGACAGCGGGGGTGATGGCCTGGGTTATCTGGGATGTCATTGAGAAAGATGATGGGTGGTGCCGTTGTGTTGGTCGACGGCGGTGATGGCTCGTGAGCACTATGAGGAGGAGGACGATTGAGAGTTGGAGAGTCGAGGGAAGGGTGTCGAGGAGGATAGTCGGCTGGAGTTAGGAGAAGGATTTGGGTTTGGTTTGGGAAGAGAGACTGAGTGCGAGAGAGATAAAGAGCGGAAGGCTTTTGGTTTGGAAAATTTGGGAAATTTTTTGAAATTTTTTTACTATTCCCTCGCCAAAATTTTCACACATGGCGCGACGCAGGTATACATTTCGACGTCGCGCAAAGTGCTTTTGCGCAACGACCATATTGTGACGTCGCGCAAGGTTTTTTTTTAAAAAAAATTGTAAATTTTACTCAAATTTTACTTAATAAATATATATACCTTTGAACGTGATGGGATACACATTGTATGAAACTAATTTCAACGATCCAACCGTCAAACTTGTTTGTATATATTTCGAGATCGCATACGGCAAAAATTGGAAAAAAAAAACATCCAGAGATCAAGTAACGGGACAAAACCTTTTGACGGTTATAAACGAAAAGTCACAATTTAACGGTTATTTTAACTCCGATTTTGATGATTTTTTACAACTACACTCCTTGACCCTATATGAATACAATGAATGAATTCGATCGTCAATTTAAAATATTTACACAAGTGGATACTACAAAATCTTATGTTATACTTAATGAAAGTATAAATAAACTCTTAAGTGTTAGTGAATCTATCGTTTTGATGGGAAACGCATTGTACGAAACTAGTTTCAACGATCTAACCGTCAAACTTGTTTGTATATGTTTCGAGATCGCATACGCCAAAAATTGCAAAAAACAAATATTCAGAGATTATGTAACGGGACAAACATTTTTGACGGGTATAAACGAAAAATCACGATTTAACGGTCATTTTAACTTTGATTTTGATGATTTTTTACAGCTTTACTTTTTAAACCTATATGAATACAATGAACTAATTCGATCGTCAATTTAAAACATTTACACAAGTGGATACCACAAAAGAAAAATGCAATGAAAGCAACCCAAAAGAAAAGCAAAAGGCCAAAAAAAAAAAAAAAAACACACAACTTTGCGCGACGTAGGTACAATTGCGTCGCGCAAAGATGTTTTGCGCGACGCAATTGTACCTACGTCGCGCAAAGTTGTGTTTTTTTTCGTGCCCTTTTGCTTATGAGTACAAAATAAATAAATTAAAAATAGGAAACATATTGTACGAAATTAGTTTTCACAATCCAACCGTCAAACTTGTTTGGATATACTTCGAGATCGTACACGCCAAAAATCACAAAAAAAAAAAAAATTCAAAGATCAAGTAACGGGACAAACCTTTTCGACGGGTATAAACGAAACATCACGATTTAACGATTATTTTAACTCCGATTTTGATGATTTTTTACAACTACACTCCTTGACCCTATATGAATACAATGAATGAATTCGATCGTCAATTTAAAATATTTACACAAGTGGATACTACAAAATCTTATGTTATACTTAATGAAAGTATAAATAAACTCTTAAGTGTTAGTGAATCTATCGTTTTGATGGGAAACGCATTGTACGAAACTAGTTTCAACGATCTAACCGTCAAACTTGTTTGTATATGTTTCGAGATCGCATACGCCAAAAATTGCAAAAAACAAATATTCAGAGATTATGTAACGGGACAAACATTTTTGACGGGTATAAACGAAAAATCACGATTTAACGGTCATTTTAACTTTGATTTTGATGATTTTTTACAGCTACACTCTTTAAACCTATATGAATACAATGAACTAATTCGATCGTCAATTTAAAACATTTACACAAGTGGATACCACAAAAGAAAAATGCAATGAAAGCAACCCAAAAGAAAAGCAAAAGGCCAAAAAAAAAAAAAAAAAACACAACTTTGCGCGACGTAGGTACAATTGCGTCGCGCAAAGATGTTTTGCGCGACGCAATTGTACCTACGTCGCGCAAAGTTGTGTTTTTTTTTCGTGCCCTTTTGCTTATGAGTACAAAATAAATAAATTAAAAATAGGAAACGTATTGTACGAAATTAGTTTTCACAATCCAACCGTCAAACTTGTTTGGATACACTTCGAGATCGTACACGCCAAAAATCACAAAAAAAAAAAAAACATTCAAAGATCAAGTAACGGGACAAACCTTTTCGACGGGTATAAACGAAACATCACGATTTAACGGTTATTTTAACTCCGATTTTGATGATTTTTTACAACTACACTCCTTGACCCTATATGAATACAATGAATGAATTCGATCGTCAATTTAAAATATTTACACAAGTGGATACTACAAAATCTTATGTTATACTTAATGAAAGTATAAATAAACTCTTAAGTGTTAGTGAATCTATCGTTTTGATGGGAAACGCATTGTACGAAACTAGTTTCAACGATCTAACCGTCAAACTTGTTTGTATATGTTTCGAGATCGCATACGCCAAAAATTGCAAAAAACAAATATTCAGAGATTATGTAACGGGACAAACATTTTTGACGGGTATAAACGAAAAATCACGATTTAACGGTCATTTTAACTTTGATTTTGATGATTTTTTACAGCTTTACTTTTTAAACCTATATGAATACAATGAACTAATTCGATCGTCAATTTAAAACATTTACACAAGTGGATACCACAAAAGAAAAATGCAATGAAAGCAACCCAAAAAAAAAGCAAAAGGCCAAAAAAAAAAAAAAAAAAACACCACTTTGCGCGACGTAGGTACAATTGCGTCGCGCAAAGATGTTTTGCGCGACGCAATTGTACCTACGTCGCGCAAAGTTGTGTTTTTTTTTCGTGCCCTTTTGCTTTTGAGTACAAAATAAATAAATTAAAAATAGGAAACGTATTGTACGAAATTAGTTTTCACAATCCAACCGTCAAACTTGTTTGGATATACTTCGAGATTGTACACGCCAAAAATCACAAAAAAAAAAAAAAATTCAAAGATCAAGTAACGGGACAAACCTTTTCGACGGGTATAAACAAAACATCACGATTTAACGGTTATTTTAACTCCGATTTTGATGATTTTTTACAACTACACTCCTTGATGAATACAATGAATGAATTCGATCGTCAATTTAAAATATTTACACAAGTGGATACTACAAAATCTTATGTTATACTTAATGAAAGTATAAATAAACTCTTAAGTGTTAGTGAATCTATCGTTTTGATGGGAAACGCATTGTACGAAACTAGTTTCAACGATCTAACCGTCAAACTTGTTTGTATATGTTTCGAGATCGCATACGTCAAAAATTGCAAAAAACAAATATTCAGAGATTATGTAACGGGACAAACATTTTTGACGGGTATAAACGAAAAATCACGATTTAACGGTCATTTTAACTTTGATTTTGATGATTTTTTACAGCTACACTCTTTAAACCTATATGAATACAATGAACTAATTCGATCGAAAATTTAAAAAAGAAAAATGCAATGAAAGAAACCCAAAAGAAAAGCAAAAGGCCAAAAAAAAAAAAAAAAAACACCACTTTGCGCGACGTAGGTACAATTGCGTCGCGCAAAGATGTTTTGCGCGACGCAATTGTACCTACGTCGCGCAAAGTTGTGTTTTTTTTTCGTGCCCTTTTGCTTATGAGTACAAAATAAATAAATTAAAAATAGGAAACGTATTGTACGAAATTAGTTTTCACAATCCAACCGTCAAACTTGTTTGGATATACTTCGAGATCGTACACGCCAAAAATCACAAAAAAAAAAAACATTCAACGATCAAGTAACGGGACAAACCTTTTCGACGGGTATAAACGAAACATCACGATTTAACGGTTATTTTAACTCCGATTTTGATGATTTTTTACAACTACACTCCTTGACCCTATATGAATACAATGAATGAATTCGATCGTCAATTTAAAATATTTACACAAGTGGATACTACAAAATCTTATGTTATACTTAATGAAAGTATAAATAAACTCTTAAGTGTTAGTGAATCTATCGTTTTGATGGGAAACGCATTGTACGAAACTAGTTTCAACGATCTAACCGTCAAACTTGTTTGTATATGTTTCGAGATCGCATACGTCAAAAATTGCAAAAAACAAATATTCAGAGATTATGTAACGGGACAAACATTTTTGACGGGTATAAACGAAAAATCACGATTTAACGGTCATTTTAACTTTGATTTTGATGATTTTTTACAGCTACACTCTTTAAACCTAAAAAAATAAAATGAACAAATACGAACGACAATTTAAAAAAGAAAAATGCAATGAAAGAAACCCAAAAGAAAAGCAAAAGGCCAAAAAAAAAAAAAAAAAACACAACTTTGCGCGACGTAGGTACAATTGCGTCGCGCAAAGATGTTTTGCGCGACGCAATTGTACCTACGTCGCGCAAAGTTGTGTTTTTTTTTCGTGCCCTTTTGCTTATGAGTACAAAATAAATAAATTAAAAATAGGAAACGTATTGTACGAAATTAGTTTTCACAATCCAACCGTCAAACTTGTTTGGATATACTTCGAGATCGTACACGCCAAAAATCACAAAAAAAAAAAACATTCAAAGATCAAGTAACGGGACAAACCTTTTCGACGGGTATAAACGAAACATCACGATTTAACGGTTATTTTAACTCCGATTTTGATGATTTTTTACAACTACACTCCTTGACCCTATATGAATACAATGAATGAATTCGATCGTCAATTTAAAATATTTACACAAGTGGATACTACAAAATCTTATGTTATACTTAATGAAAGTATAAATAAACTCTTAAGTGTTAGTGAATCTATCGTTTTGATGGGAAACGCATTGTACGAAACTAGTTTCAACGATCTAACCGTCAAACTTGTTTGCTTATGAGTACAAAATAAATAAATTAAAAATAGGAAAAAAGTGGTAAAGCATTCATGTTTTGCCGCCAAAATCTTGCGTGACGCATAAAACGTCGCGCAAAACACCTTTGCGCGACGGCACTTTGCGCGACGAAATATGGCGTCGCGCAAAGATGTTTTGAGCGACCCAAATGTATATGCGTCGCGCAAAGATATTTTGCGCGACGCCAGCCTTCGTCGCGCAAAGTATCGTCGCGCAAAGGTCTTTTGCGCGACGTTTTGTGTTTTGCGTCGCGCAAACATACTTTGCGCGACAAAATTTTCTTCGTCGCGCAAGTTTCCGTC